AATGTATGATAAAGATGAGAAAATTAATAACAACTGATTTTTAATATTGAAGATTTAATAATAGTTCCAATATCACCCATCTTTGGAACAACTACTAATTTCTATTTTGCAGAAATGTATGTTGTGTGTGTGTGTAATGTACAATAAAAATCACAGAGGCCTATTCACTTTTTTTGTTTCTTATTGTAACCTACAGTGAGCAGGTATCAGCCCCCCAGCCAGGGCTGATAGTCAAGGAGTGTGTCCTGGTTCAGTTGTACAGACTGTTTATCACGGATGTCCCTTCAGTCCTGATTGGGCAGTGTTTTTTCCTCACAGGTCAAGATCCCTGCTGAATCAGCTCTTAAATAATTTGAATATCACCCTTATATCTCAGTTAAGCAAGACATTGTTTCCTGAGTCTGTTTAACTGGTCTTTCCCTGCATAAACCAGAGTACAAGTGGCCAGTGCTACGGGGGACCATGTGCTGTGGGTTAGGTGGGGTCTCAGATTCCACATCTGTAAAGTGGAGATTGTGCTAGTGGTTCCCTCATAGAGTTCTGGGCTTTAGGTAACACACATCAAGTTTTGGAACAGCATGTGCTCAGTAAGTGTTAGCTGCTGTTGTGACTACTACTGTAATCAGGCCTGCTGTGCATTAGTACTCTGCAGCAGTGTTGGGCCGGTAGCATCTGAGAGGGCACACCCAGGGATCGTGCTTCAGTTCTGAGATCCGTAGCTGTGAGCTGGGATACCTTTGAAGGTCCTGGAGTTCAGTGAGATTAGAGAACATGACTTACATTCCCCTCCTGTCTCATCTTCTTTCCCTGCCTCCTACGTTCGCCTCACTGGAGTTGCAGGTCTGACCATTGCAAAGGATTGTCACCTGGACAGTTGCCCTCTTTTATGTACCCTTAGAACATGTTTCCATGTCTGAATTGCCCTATGCGATATTTTTGAAATCCTTAGATAGGTAGCCTCCTCAGGAGCTTACTCTACCTCTCAAAGCTGCAAATATAATTAATAATGGAGACATTAATGTGAAATAGAGGCAATACCTAACTAAAAGAAGTTTGTGGATCAAATAGAATGTCCGTTTATCATGCTAGCCCAATGCCCAGAGCTCTGTAGTGTAGGTGCTCAGTTAACACTACTGCCTTCCCCTTTTCTTCTGTTTCCTTATCTTAATTTATTGTGCACTTCTATCCATATTTTGGCCTTTTCCTCCATGTGGGCAATTGTAATAGCCTCCTTACTGGTGTTCCTTGTTCTAATTTCTCTCGTCCTGTCCTCAGCCCTTATCTCCTGCATCCTGCTCCAAATGAATTTTTCCTAGATTAGAAAATTTATGAATAAATTCTTTAAAAAAAATAAGAAAGAAAAAAGAACTAGAGAGTCTATCTTTGGCAATATGATGGCCTACAAATTCCGAAACTTCCATTATAAAATATCTAAAAATGATAAAATATTTTTAAACATCTTTTAACTGAACGGATGAGCCTGTAGCAATGAAAGGGAAATCCTGTGATGCCAGGAATACACCGTGAGTGCAAGTCTAGGGAGTGGAGCAACCCCTGGCGCATCTCTGGGTCTGGTGCCCAAGGAGTACTGGAGATAAAATTACACAGCTCTAAGCACAGAAGGACAAGAAAATGGAGACTGTGAGGGAACAATTAAGACACCGGTGGAATGGAGTGAGAAGTTAGAGTGTCAGAGGTTACAGTAGTGGAGACAATGGAGGAGAGACTGTATTCAAAGATATGATGACTACAAGCTTTTGAAAATGATACGCAGGAAACCCAAAGAACACCAAGCTGGGTAAATTTAAAGAAACCTATACTTAGACATAACATTTAGGCTCAAGACAGACATCCCGACAATGATGGTAGCCAAAGATAGTGAATAATATCTTCATAAGAAATAGCAATTGTCAACCTAGAATTTTTAATGAAATAAAGACATTTTTATATAAATAGAAAAATATTTACCACCAAAAGACCCTCACTAAAGGAACTTTAAGTATAGATTTCGAGTGGTTGCAAATGGCCTCCAAAAAACAATCTGAGGTACAGAAAGTAACGAATGAAGGTAATAGTAAACTCAAGGGTAAATCTAACAGACAATGGCAGTGTATAGAAAAATAATGATGTCTATTTCAGTGGTGTTAGAGAAAACTAAAGTAATAGACACCATTGTCATGCAAGATGGAAGGCAGATGATCAGAATTAAACTAATCCAAGATCCCTGTACTTTCAAGGAGAAGGAAAACGATGGCTTGTCTTTGAGCTTCGTGTATGCATATTGAAAACGGCCATGAAAGCATAGTCAAAGTAAAAAGATAAAATGGTATCTTTTGATCAAGTTCAGTCAACACCTTTTCACAGTAGATACCCAGGTATTTGTTAAAATACACCTACCTACGACTCCCTACCAGCCTCGTGGTTAAAGCCTTTCAGTAGGACACACTGGGTTTCCAGTCGGTAATCTCACTCATTCCTCCAGTTCTGTTCGTTATGTAACTACAGTTACAAGTCTTCCCCTAGTCATATACTTCATCATGGATGTGTTGTGAAATCAGTGTTAACTCATTCTACAGTCACCATTATGAGGAACAGTGCTCCTCAATCATTGGTGTCTAGCCCATGCATTTCACTCGCCAAGGGTGCAAAAGCCACAACAGCACTGTGTGTGTGGCTTTAAATCGGCACAGTTGAGCCTGCCTCTAGAGAGTGCACAGTGGTCCCCTCTTCCCTGAATGCCACACTGTCCCACCTGTAAGATGGAGGTAATAATAGTACCTTATTTCCAGCACTGTGGTGTGGGTTAAACAGGTTAATACACATAAAATCATTTAGAGCGATGCTTTTATAGCACTCTGGTTATATACTGTTGAGTACTCGCTTCTGAGTTATCTTGTTAGGAGAATTGGTTGCTTCATTTAAGTCTTAATCTTGGTTTTGGTCAACCAAGATTAAGTTTTACACTTCTGTGTGGGTGGAAAAGTAGAGAATGCAGTACAGGGTTAGTCACCTATAGGTGAGTTCAGCTCACATTGCAGCTGGAGAGAGATTTGGGATCTGTTTCTAGTAGGCTTAATGTGCTAATGATAAAGAACTGATAAAGATTTTTGTGAACATGTACATGAATTCACAGGAGATTTCTACTCGAAAAGTAGCAAAATAGATTGTAGATCTTTGAACTGAAGGAATCTTAAGATGCCACTAAACTAGTTTTAGGGCTTTGTGGAAAGCCTTTAAAATCCAGGACCTGTGTTCCTCCTATAGGAAACACGAGGGTTTTCTCTAAGTTTTTTTCCAGCATTATCCAGTGCTTTGCCTTAAGTTATGTGAATTATCCACATTTTGAAATAGAGCAGCTGAAGTCCTGAGAGGTTGAGGGACAGGTCAAGAGCGACCGGTTAGGGATTGGTGGGTGAGAGGATAGGTGTAAGACAAGGGCTAGAAACCAGCTGGCCTGCTTTGCAGTCCAGCGCCTCCACCACACCACACTGCCTCTGGTCCCGCTCTGCGGCAGCTCCGGCACGGCCTCCTCTGCGTGCACTGTTCTCACGCCAGCCGTCTCAGAATTGGACGTCTCTTGAACAAGACAGTCAATATTTATTTTATACGTATTTATAATTGTCTATAGTTCTGTTTATAGTAGTCACTTTTTTTTTCTTTATAAAGGAGATTATGGTATACTTTTTTTGATCATTTATTTTTGAGTACACACTTCTAACCCTGACATAGTGGAAACAGATGGGATGATCTTTTTTATTCCCCTGGACCCTGCGGAGCAGCTGTTCCGAGTCCTACTCTGCCAGGTGGACGTCTCAGTGTTGTGTTGGCAGGAGCACCTGTGTTCTGTAGGTGGGTCTTTACCCAGTTTCTAAGCCTAAGGATTCTTGAGTCTTCAGTCAAAGGAGATTTAAAGGATTTAATTCTTAAGAATAATGTACTTCCTAATTTAATCAGATATCTAAGTTAAAGACAGTCTAAAGGCAGCCAAATAGTTGATAAAAGAATAAGAATAAATGGTCCTCCCTACCTATTGGGATAGACATGTTTAGAAAAATGGCATTTGAGTAATAATATTTTCTAGTTACAAATTTTAATTCATTAAAGTTAAGAAGAAATAGTAAACTGTTTGCTAGTCTGTGCTTTTGCTTTAGGACACTCTGTGAAAGGGTATATAAGTCAATAGAGGAAATTCTACTTTATACTCCAGGAGAATATAAACAAAAGGAATGTAAGGATTTCTGAAAGAAAAGTCATTTGGAGAATTTTTATGAGGATGCCTCACTGCCTTGCACTGTGCCAGGTTCTGTGAATTCTAAAGATGAAGGGTACCTGCTTGCACGTCATCCAGTCTACTGAAAGAGATGTGTAGACAAACAATTAGGTTACAGTGCAGCAAAATCTGCAGCAGAGATATCACAGTTTGCCATGGGAGTAATAATAATTAAAGTTATAGTCCAGTTGGTGAGTGTGTGGGGGAAATGCCAAAAGCAGTCCTCTTATAGCCTGGGACTTTTTTCTTATGATTCCTAGAAACTTGGATGAAGCCGTAAGGCTCTGGTACATGAGCCTTTTAAACGTTCTCTTGGGTGAATATGTGTTTCCAGGGTGCTGTCTCTTTTGCTCTCCCAGCCTACGTCCTCTCTGCTGGAGTGGAGCTGTGGCGCCATGCTGCCCGGGTCAGGTCCTGCTTCTCCTCTTCCCATTGTGCGGCCACGGACAGATTACTTCTCTGTGCTTCAGTTTTGTGAAAGGGCAAGAGTAATCGTACCTGCCTCCCAGGATTGTTCTGGCAATTAAATGAGATAATACAAGGAAAACGTTTTCAGAATACTGCCTGTTAACACAGTAAGGCTCAAGAAAATTTTAGTTCTCATTATCATTAGTTTTGTTAGCTAATAAACCAGGAACATTGAAACACAATCACCATGTTGATCATTTAGCTTCTCTTTCTAAAATGTTAATTTCTGTCAAATAAAATTTTCTATTTTTTTCCTTTCTAGCTCCAAGAGGAAAACGAGGATGGAAAACCTTTTATGCTGTACTGAAGGGAACAGTCCTTTACTTGCAAAAGGTAAAAGTAAATAAAAAATTGAAGCCCACGAAACTTAATGAAATGATAATTAGACAACTTACCCCCAAAAGACTCTTTGCACAAAAATATTCATTTTGTACAAACACCCAAAAGACCATTTCATTGATGTCTAAATTCTTTTTTTTTGATTTTTTTTTTTTGTTTCTGATGAAAAATTATTTTGGAAATTATATATATTATATGTAATATTTTATATATAAAAGGCTTTTTATCTGTATGTATGTATTTGTGATCAGAGGGAATGGATTAGCTGTGTTCTAATTATGTTCAATTAGAAATTTTAAATATAAGTTGCTAAGTTAGACTTTGTATGTCTGTGCAGGTACAGACCTATGGCAACACTTGTTTCGGTGGATATTTATACTATAGAGTATTTATATCCTTCATTTGTTTGTTGTTATTTAACAGTATATCTTCATTTAGTTATTTATCTTCATTTAGATCCTACCTAAATCTAGAAACACATTTTCATTCAAGTCCTAAAGTATCTGTACTTAACAATAAAAATGTATTCCCTGTCAGCATCCTTTCTTCCAATCCCAGAATCTGGAAATCTGTTTGGGATCAGGTTTATATGTTCTGGCCTTTGAAGGGTAGTCCTTGGAGCTTCCACCTCGCTAGCTCTGTGTGGGTGAGGTGGGAATGCTGTGTGTGGAATGTAGTAAGGTACACTGCTTCCCAGGGCTCAACAGGATTCTGGCTCCCACTGTGAAGAGCAGCTTGGAATTAGGGCTGATAGGAGGCAAGATAGTAAGAACACTGCCCTCAAAGGTGACTGATAGGAAAAGGTGGGTTTTTTTGTGATAAAAAACACGTAACATGAGATCTACCCTCAATAAATTTTTAAGTACATAGTACAATATTATTAACTATAAGTACAATGTTTTACAGTAGATCTCTAGAAATTTTCCATCTTGCATGACAAACAATATCCAGTGAACAGTTCTTTTCCCATTTGCCCCTCTCCCCAGCCCCTGGCAACCACTATTCTACTTTCTGTTTCTGAGTTTGACTATTTTAGATACTTCATATAAGTGGAATCAAGCAGTATTTGTCCTTCTATGACTGGCTGATTTCACTAACATAATGTCCTCAAGGTTCATCTATGTTGTAGCATATGACAAGATTTCCCTTTTTTATGGCTGAATAATATTTCGTTGTTTACTTCATTTTCTTTATCTATTCATCTGTCCATGAACATTTATGTTGTTTCTCCCTCTTGGTTATTGTGAATAATGCCACAGTGAACATGGGAGTGCAAATATCTCCAGAAGTGGAATTGCTGCATCATATGGTGGTTCTACTTTTAATTTTTTGAAGAACTTCTATATTGTTTTCCATGGTGGCTGAACCATTTTAAATTCCCACCAACAGTGCACAGCAGCTCCAATTTCTCCACGTGCACATTAACACTTCTTATTTTCTGTTTTTGTTTTTTTAAATTTTTTATAATAGCCATCCTAATGGATGTGAGGTGATACCTCATTGTGGTTTTGATTTATGTTTTGATGATTAGTGATGTTGAGCATCTTTTCAAATACTTGTTGGCCATATGTGTGTTGTGTTTGGAGAAATGTCTATTCAAATCCTTTGTCCATTTTTTAATCAAGTTGTGTTTTTGCTATTGAGTTGTAGGAATTCCGTATATATTTTGGATATGTATCCCTTATCATATATGTGGTCTTCAGATATTTTCTCCCATTCCGTAGATAGCCTTTTCACTCTCTTGATTGTTTACTTTGCTGTGCACAAGCTTTTTAGTTTTATGTAGTCCCACTTGTCTATTTTTGCTTTTGTTACCTGTGCTTTTGGTGTTGTATCCAAGAAATCATTGCCAATGTCAAGAAGTTTTTCCCCTGTGTTTTCGTCTATGAGTTTTATAGTTTCAAGTCTTACATTTAAACCTTTAATTCAGTTTGAGTTGACTTTTGTGTATGGTGTAAGATAAGGATGGAATTTCATTGTTTTTTTGCATGTGGATGCCCAGTTTTCCTAGTACTATTTGTTGAAGAGATTATCTTTTCCCCAAGTGTACTATGGCACCCTGTGAAAGATCAGTTGACCTTATATGCATGGGATAATTTCTGGGCTCTTTATTCTGTTACATTGGTCTATATGGCTGTCTTTATGCCAATACCATGACGTTTTGATTACTGTAACATGTTTTGAAGTTAGGAAGTGTGAAGCCTCTAAATTTGTTCTTCTTTCTCAAGATTGTTTTGGATATTCAGGATCGTTTGTAGTTTCTTATGAATTTTAGGGTGAATTTCTCTATTTCTGTAAAAAATGCCATTGGGATTTTGGTAGGGTTTGCATTGAATCTGTAGATGGCTTTGGGTACTATGGACATTTTAACAATATTAATTCTTCCAATCCATGAGCATGGGATGTCTTTCCATTTATTTGTGTCTTCTTTAATTTCTTTCAGCAGTGTTTTGTATTTTTCATTGTATGAGTTTTTTGTGTCCTTCATTAAGTTTATTCCTAAGTATTTTATTGTTTTGATGCTGTTGTAATTGGAATTGTTTTCTTAATTTCCTTTTCAGATTGTTCATTAATAGTGTATAGAAATGCAACTGATTTTTGCATGTTGATTTTGTATCCTGCAGTGTTGCTAAATTTGTGTCTTAGTTCTAACGATTCTTTTGTAGAATCTTTAGAGTTTTCTATATATAGGGTCATGGCATCTGTGAACAGAGATAATTTTACTTTTTCCCTTGCAATTTGGATGCCTTTTATTTCTTTTTCTTGTCTATTATTCTGGCTAGGACTTGATTACTATGTTGAATAGAAGTGGCAAGAGTGGGTATCTTTGTCTTGTTTCTTTCCTTAGAGGAAAAACCTTCAGTTTTTCACCATTGAGTATGATGTTAGCTCTGGGCTTTTCTTATGTGGCTTTTGTTATAGTGAGGTAATTTCCATTTATTCCTAGTTTGTTGAATTTTTTTTTGTTGGAAGATTTACCCTGAGCTAACATCCGTTGCCAATCTTCCTCTTTTTGCTTGAGGAAGATTTGCCCTGAGCCAACATCTTTGCCAGTGTTCCTCTGTTTTATATGTGGGCCACCGCCACAGCATGGCCACCAACGAGTGGTTTAGGTCTGTGCCCAAGAACAGAACCCTGGGCCGCTGAAGCGGAGTGCGCCAAACTTAACCATTAGGTCACGGGGCAGGCCCCTGTTGAATGTTTTTTATCATGAAAGGATATTGAATTTTTATTAAATGCTTTTTTTGCATCTATTAAGATGATCATGTAATTTGTGACATTTATTCTGTTAATGTGGTTTATCACATTACTTCATTTTCATATGTTGCACCATTCTTTCATCCCAGGGATAAGTCCCACTTGGTCATGATGTTGGATTTGGTTTGCTGGTTTTTTGTTGAGATTTTTGCCTCTATATTTATCAGGGATAACGGCCTGTAGTTTTCTTTTCTTGTAGTGTCTTTTTCTGGCTTTGGTATCAGGGTAATACTGTCCTCATAAAATGAGTTTAGACGTATTCCTTCCTCTTCAATTATTTGGAAGAATTTGAGAAGAATTTGTATTAAATTCTTCTTTAAAAGTTTGATAGAATTTATTGGTGAAGCCATATGGTCCTGAACTTTTCTTTGTTGGGAGGTTTTTGATTACTGATTGAATCTCCATATAGTTATAGATCTATTCTGTTTTTCTATTTATTCATGATTCAGTCTTGGCAAATTGTATGTTTTTAGGAATTTATCCATTTTTTCTAGGTTGTCCAGTTTGTTGGTGTATAGTTGTTACTTTTAATCCTTTTAATTTCTATGGCATCAGTTAGAATGTCTCTTCTTTCATTTCTGATTATATTTGAGACTTCTTTTTTTCTTAGCAGTCTAGCTAAAAGTTTGTCAATTTTAATAGTCTTTTCAAAAAATCAATTGTTAGTTTCATTGATTTTTTTCCTATTGTTTTTCTGGCCTCTATTTCATCTGTTTCTGCTCTAATCTTAACGTTTCCTTCCTTCTACTAACTTTGGGCTTCGTTTGCTCTTTTGCTGTTTCCTTGAGGTGGAAAATTAGGTTGTTTATTTGATTTTTTTTTTTATTGTAGATGTTTATATCTATAAACTTCCCTCCTGGTACTGCTTTTGCTCTGTCTCATATGTTTTGTTTTTTTTTTGTTTGTTTGTTTTTTTTGTGAGGAGATCAGCCCTGTGCTAACATCCGCCAATCCTCCTCTTTTTTTGCCGAGGAAGACGGCCCTGGGCTAATATCCGTGCCCATCCTGCTCCACTTTATATGGGACGCCGCCACAGCATGGCTTGCCAAAGCAGTGCGTCGGTGCGCGCCTGGGGTCCGAACCAGCGAACCCCGGGCCGCCGCAGCGGAGCGCGCGCACCCAACCTCTTGCGGCACTGGGCCAGCACCATGTCTCATATGTTTTGTATGTTGTGTTTTTGTTTACCTTTGTCTTAAGATATTTTCTCATTTCTCTTTTGATTTCTTCTTTGACCATTGATTATTCAAGAGTGTGTTGTTTAATTGCCACATTTTTGTAATTTTGCATTTTTTCTTCTGCCATTAATTTCTAGTTTCATCCCATCCTGGTTGGAAAATATACTTGGCATGTTTCAAGCACCTTAAATTTGCTAATACTTGTTTTACAACCTGACATGTGATTTATCCTGGAGAATGTTCTTTGTGCACTTGAGAAGAGTATGTATTCTGCTACAATTGGGTGGAGTATTCTGTATATGTCTGTTAGGTCCATTTTCTTTACAGTGTTTTTCAAGTTGTCTGTTTTTTTTATTGATCTTCTGTTTGGATGTTCTATCCATTATTGAGAGTAGGGTATTGATAGCCCCTATTATTATTGTATTGCTGTCAATTTCTCCCCTCAGTTCTGTCTGTATTTGCTTCATATATTTAAGTGCTCTGATGTTGGGTGCATATGTATTTATAATTGTGAATCTTCCAGGCAAACTGACCTTTTTATCATTATATAATATCCTTCTT